TGTGTGTGTGTGTGTGTGTGTGTGTGTGTGTGTGTGTGTGTGTGTGTGTGTGTGTGTGTGTGTGTGTGTGTGTGTGTGTGTGTGTGTGTGTGTGTGTGTGTGTGTGTGTGTGCGTGCGTTTTCCATGGCAAGGTAGCGTGGATATCAGAAAATGATGCAAGGAATGCGCACTCCCATCAATCGTTGCACCAACGGTCACCACCGTTTATCAAAGCGCACTTCTTTCAAATTTGTAGTTTAACTTGCTAGACTTACAGCCATGTGAGCTTGGTGAGTGTGCTTATATAGGACGGGAAAGAACAGTCTATACTGTTGACGTGCATGTCACTGCAGGCATGTCAGATCCAAGAACATGGACAACCAGGCCTGTCAGGAGTTCCAGATTGCACCATTGGTTTGACCAGGGCTGCGCACAAGGAGTACCAGATTGCACCTGCATTGAAAAACCTTTGTGTGTGAAGAGAATCAAAGCTCTAGAATAATCTGGGAGTAGTTAACAGCTGATTGTATGGCAGCAAGGAAAGGAGTATGTGTAGGGAGGGATGTTACATGATGGAAGATGAGGCGCCATATGAAACTACTCCTAAGGCATTGTGAGTGAGGGGAATGGAAGGTGAGTCAAAGAAGCATTCAAGCACAAGGGTAAACGGGATAAGGGAGGAGTGACTGACAGAGGACGGGTGAATGCAGAGGAGGGTTGACTGACAGAGGAGGAATGACTTACAGAGGAGGGGTGACTGACAGAGGAGGGGGTGACTGAGAGAGGGGGGGTGACTGACAGAGCAACAAGGTTGGTGAGACTGCTGATGGCGGCAGGGAGAGTCCCGTTGATGAAGTTGATGGAGATGTTGCTGGGAAGGGCGGATTGAGGGGCGTGGGGTAGCAGAAGGAAGCGAAAGAAAATAATTGCATGGCAGGTTGTGGATCTGTAAGAATGGAAGTCAATTGAAAATACGTGGTGGAGGTAAGCATCGTGGCAAAGTGAAGAAGAATGTCATAATAACGGTGGTAGAGAAGGTAAGAAGATGACTGGCAACCTGATGCTGCTCACAGGTTGGTGAGACTGATGAGATTGCTGATGCCGGCAGGCAGTGTTTGGTTCAGCTGGTTGTTGGCGACATCCCTGTGCAAACAGGAGAAACATAAACCATTCAGAACAGTGTAATTATTGGTTCAGCTGGTTGTTGGCGACATCCCTGTGAGGAAAGGACAAGCATGGACCATTCAGAACAGTGGAATCAAACCTTTCTTGCTCGCGTGTTTGGTTTTAGCTGGTTGGGTGACTTTCCAGGAGAGCAGTAAGTTAAATTCCAGGTACTTTGAGCATGCCTAAGTTGAACAACCCAAGCCGTGAAAGCAGATCCGATAGGTTTTATATTTCAAGAAGATGGCGATTATAAAGCACCAACCATTCTGATAATACAGTTTACTCTGTTGCTTTAGTACCTACAGGTGCTTGAGTGCCTACAGTTTTTTTCCTTTTCATTTCCACTGAATCAATTCTAGTGTAGAGAAATAGCACTGGCAAAAATGGAATAAACAAATAGTATGTAAATGAAAACCGGCCATGGAGAGAAGGCATGTTTGGTTTCGGTGGTGGGGTTGCCTACAGAGGGTGCCTACAGGGGTAGTGCGGGTGGGTGCGTACAGAGAGATGAGGTTGGTTAGGTTTCCCAAAGAGTCAGGGATGCTGCCGTTGATGGCGTTTCTGGCCAGATTTCTGGGGCGATGGGTGAGCGTGGTCAGGAGAGAGAGATGATATGGTGAGAAGTATGGAAGGTATTTTGGGAAGGATGGACGGTGGGAGTGATGAGTGGTGACATGGCATGATGGGAAGGGTTAATGGGTATGGCGGGAGGGAAGCAATTGATGAGTGGCATGCTGGGAGGGAGTGATGGGTATGATCAGAGGGAATAGTGGAGGGAGTGGAGGGGGTGATGAGCATGGTTGGGCATGGCTAGAGAGATCACAGAGCAGGTGCATGTGAAGTGATGGGTGGGTGGAAATGAACAGAGTGGAGCCATCCACACATAAGTCAACGTCTGTTAATGGGGGGGGGCGGGGCATGGTGGGGCGGGATAAGAAAGGAAGGGTGGCGAGAGTTCAGGCAGAAGCATATGATCAGCAGCAGAGGAGGGTGCGATAGCAGCACTGCAACTTGTGGGGGTCAGGCAGAGGGAGATCACGTTAGTGGAATCTTCACGGGTTTGCAAGGGCGCTGAGCTACTCAGATGTTTCCACGACAGGCGTGCACGAGAGGTGCGTTACTCACAGGCTTGTAAGAGCGGTGAGTTGGTCCAGCCCTTGAGGCAGAGTGCCGTTGAACGCATTGCCACTGATGTCACTGGAGAGTAAGGGGGGAAGGAATAAACGATAGAGAGTAAGGGGTACAGAATTGAACAGTGAGTACTGAGGTCACAAGAGTGCGAAAGTGAGGAGGGAGAAGTATGTGCAGGGACAGAAGGAGTGCTGTAATGAAGGATGGTGAAAATTACAGCTCAAAAGAGTGAGATAGCGAGAAGAAATACTAAACAGATAGCAGGACCACCAAGGACACAAACTGGATAAAATTGTTGCTCCTTGAGTGCAGCACGTGAAGTGAGTGATTTTAGTGGTACGGGTGCTGGGTTTATGGTAAGTTGTGGCGAAGACATGTGGGAGAGGGGGTCACTGACAGGTGGGAGAGGAGGGCACTGACATGTGGGAGAGGAGGGAGATTCTCCCAAGGCCTTCAGGCAGAGGGCCGCTCAGCTGGTTGTTGCTCAGGTCGCTGTGGATGGAAGAGGAGACGGCAGGGTCAAGCTTGAAACCAAACTAGCAGGAATAAGGAGAAATACAAAATCCATACAGTGGGTGGGAATCACAAGGGAAGGGTATGAGGGTGGAAAGGCGCTCACAGGTGGAGCAGCTGCAGAAGGTCGCCCAACCCTTGAGAGAGAGTGCCCTGGAAGGCGTTGGCACTGAGGTCGCTGTGGAAAGCGGGTGAAATGGGTTTGAGGATTTAAAGTGGGTAAATTGTGTCTGATTGGGGAAAGCTGGCGAAATGGGTTTGAGGGTTTAAAGGGGAGGAAATGGGTTTGATTGAGGGAAGCGGGAGCAAAGGGTTTGATTGAGGGAAGTGGGTCAAATGGGTTTGATTGAGAAAAGCGGGTCAAATGGGTTTGATTGAGGGAAGCGGGTCAAATGGGTTTGATTGAGGGAAACGGATGAAATGGGTTTGATTGAGGGAAACGGGCGAAATGGGTTTGAAAATTGAAGGCAGGTGAAATGGGTTTGATTGAGGGAAGCGGGAGCAAAGGGTTTGATTGAGGGAAGCGGGTCAAATGGGTTTGATTGTGGGAAGCCGGTCAAATGGTTTTGATTGGGGGAAGCGGGTCAAATGGGTTTGATTGAGCGAATCACGCAAAATGGGTTTGATTGAGGGAAACGGATGAAACGGGTTTGATTGAGGAAAGCGGACGAAATGGGTTTGATTCAGGAAAGGGGGTGAATTGGGTTGCAATGAGAAAAGAGTGTGAAATGGGTTTGATTGAGGAAAGCGGGTGAAATGGGTGGTTGAGATTAATGGTGGGGGGACGGCACTGACAGTTTGGCGAGCCTGGTGAGGTTGAAGAGGGAGGCGGGGATGGTGCCGTTCATGTCGTTGTTCTTCAGATCCCTGTAGCAGTGCGAAGCAAAGGGCGGCAAGTGGTTATGTGTGCAATGTATTTGTTCTTCAATCTCTGCAGGCAATGGAGAGAGCAATGCAGAGGGTGGCAAAGGGAGGCAGTGGTAGATGGTGGAAAGGGAGGCAGTGCAGATGGCGGCAGGAGGAGACAAAGCAAAGAGCAGCAAGTGGTTTTGCATACAGAAGATGACGTGCCATGGAATGCATTGGTTTCCAAGGCATGCAAGGTATAATTATCTCGTACGAGGCACCCACAAGGAGGCACGCACAAGCGCACGGGGCAAAGGGGCATGCACAAGGACACTGATAAGGCAAGGAGGCACCGACCAACAGGGAAAGGGGGCACTGACAGGGCAAGGAGGCACTGACAGGGCAAAGAGGCACCAACAGGGCAAGGAGGCACCCACAAGGCAACGAGGTTGGCGAGAGTTCCCAGTAAGGAGGGGATGGTGCCGTTGAGCTGGTTGTATTGCAGCCACCTGATAGGTTCCATTTCACATGTGTGTGTACATTTCATGCCATGTATGCATGCATGGGGGAAGCATCCCACCATTAGACCACGCAAATCACTTGCAGTATTGAGCCTACACAGCTGGTGATAGTGCACGTGTGCATGAGGGAACGATCTGGTGGACACCGGAGGAAACATGTACATGGGAGAACATGCATGTGGGCACGGGAGGAAACTGCGGAGATAACTCTATCAACGGGAGCTAGACTACGGGCTAGGCACGGGGTAGGAGGGATCTCTGCGTTCATTCCTTAGTCGTTCTCTAGCACTTGTGCATTCACAGGGCAAAATTGCAAGAGTTTCACTAGCAAAAGTTGAGAACAAAGGTTCAGAATGATAGCAACAACATTGGCATGCAAGACTACATCAGACCTAGCAAAGCTGCTGGTCGACTTCCAGCGCAGCATGGTCGACCGCGTGCCAGCACGACTTGGTCGACCGCGCTCCTGCAGAGCAAAGTCGCGGCTTGCCAACATTGCAAGTCCACGGTGTGCCAACGCTGCAGCAAGTCGGCTGTACAGCTTTGCACTCGCATGACAACGGTGCACCTGCTTCGCAGGTGCGTGATGCTGGTTGGTGCACTTCTCCTTGTCACGTGCACAGCGCAGACGCCCAGCTCGACTCCACGTCAGTGACTGCGCCCACCAGCCATGTCGACCTCGGGATACCACCACCGAGGTCGGTCTCGCCACTACCACCTGGGCGACCGTCGCACTCTTTCGCAGAACCTTGTCACCCAGGTAACCTGGTCGACCGAGTAACCACCACGTCGACCAGCTGCTTCCTCTTGTGCCCGTCGACCTCCCAAGTCGACGACCACCTTCAGTCGACCACACCAGGTCGACCACACACTTGGTCGACCAGCTCCAGGTCGACACCCACCTGGTCGACCAACTCCAGGTCGACCAGCACACCTGGCAGCCGACCACACCAAGTCGGCTTCCCCTGGTCGGCGTCCCCAAGTCGACGCCCTCCACTGGTCGACCTCCCAAGTCGACCGGCCGAAGTTGGCGCCCTCCCAAGGTCGGCGCCCTTGCAGTGGCCCTCGTGCAGGTCGACCAGACCCGTCGACCAGCTCCCCCACTGCTCCAGGTCGGCTGCACTCCTCACACCCGACCACGAAGTCGGCTCCGCCCAAATGAGGAAGGGGCCAACAACAACTCCCCTTGACAGAAACATGTACATGGGAGAACATGCATGTGTGCACGGGAGGAAACATGTACATGGGAGAACATGCATGTGGCCACGGGAGGAAACATGTACATGGGAGAACATGCATGTGGGCACGGGAGGAAACATGTACTTGGGAGAACATGCATATGGGCACGGGAGGAAACATGTACATGGGAGAACATGCATGTGTGCATGGGAGGAAACATGTACATGGGAGAACATGCATGTTGGCACGGGAGGAAACATGTACATGGGAGAACATGCATGTGTGCATGGGAGGAAACATGTACATGGGAGAACATGCATGTGGGCACGGGAGGAAACATGTACTTGGGAGAACATGCATATGGGCACGGGAGGAAACATGTACATGGGAGAACATGCATGTGTGCATGGGAGGAAACATGTACATGGGAGAACATGCATGTTGGCACGGGAGGAAACATGTACATGGGAGAACATGCATGTGGGCACGGGAGGAAACATGTACATGGGAGAGCATGCATGTGTGCACGGGAGGAAACATGTACATGAGAGAACATGCATGTGGGCACGGGAGGAAACATGTACTTGGGAGAACATGCATGTGGGCACGGGAGCAAACATATACGTGGGAGCACATTTATGTGTGCACGAGAGCAAACATGTACGTGGGAGAATATTCATGTGGGCACGGGAGGAAACATGTACATGGAAGAGCATGCATGTGTGCATGGGAGGAAACATGTACATGGGAGAACATGCATGTGTGCATGGGAGGAAACTTGTGCATGGGAGAACATGCATGTTTGCATGGGAGGAAAAATGTACATGGGAGAACATGCATGGGGGCCAATATGTGCATGTTCTAGGGACTCGGAGGCAGAATATGGGCTTACAGCTCTGTGAGGTTGTGGAGGTTGGCCAAGGAGACTGGCACTGTGCCGCTGAGCTGGTTGTAGCTCAGCTCCCTGCCATGAGGGACTCAGGTGATGGGAACACAAGTAAAGGGGAACACAAATAATATGCAACACACATAGTGGCCAACACACATAATGGGCAACAATCGTATTCAGAAACACATGCAATTAGCAACATGGATAACGAGCAACACACATAATGAACAGCACATGTAACGAGCAATGTATGAAGTGAGCAACACATGGAGGGAGAACATATGTCATGAGCAGCAACACAGATGACGATCAGCATACAAACACAAAGGAAAAAACCAAACTCGCATCATCAGCAGCAGGCCACACTGGCATCAGCTAATCACAAACAAGACTGACATTCGCTGCAGGTCAAAGAGAGTGCCGAAGCTGGTGGGAATAAACCCCGTGAATGAAAATAGTTATTTTGCCAGCGTGCCGTCAGCATGCCACACTCACATTTGCTGCAGGTGTGAGAGAGTGCCAAAGCTGGTGGGAATGGAACCCGTGAGTTCGTTGAAGCCCATTGATCTCTTGGGTTTGCAACAGATGGAGGCAGGCCAAGAGGGGGAGGAAAAGGGGCAGGTCGAGAGGGGCAGGACAAGAGACAGGAAAAAAGTAAACACAGTTCATTATGATGGTGGGAGTAAAACCAGAAGAAATCCAAACTGCAACCTGTCTGTGCGACTTTGAACAAAGAAGGTTCAACACATGCCCTGTGATTCTTCGTGCCAGGTATGACACAACACACACACCAGACCATTCCATGTGTAGACGCAGGCGATACCTAATGTAGACAGGTCACTGGTAAACTAAGTTTACCGCATTCCTTTTTTCTGTGAGCGCTGCGAGCTTGGGAACCTTTGAGGCGCTTTAGAGAACATTTATGTTACTGGACTGGTGAGATAAGATTGTGATTGGTTTGTGATTTGAAGTCCGTACATGCCTGTGAGAGCTGAGTTCGGACATGCTTTTAGGGTCGTCAAATGTGGAAGCAAGTGAGTGAGTGATTCACTTGTGATGCTGAATTCTTTGTTCTTCTTACATGTCTGTGAGCGCTGTGAGCTCGGACAGGAAGTCTGGCAAGTCTGCGCTCAACTTGTTGAACGCCACAGAGCTGTGGGAGGGCATTCGGGGAAGAAAGGGGGCAATGTGAGTGCATGAGTGGGTGATGTGCACAGAGGAACGGATGAAAGGAAACCGCGGTGGAACAGCAAAATACAGCGAAAGGGTCAGAAGGGGCAGCGTCTCAATGTCTTTAAGCAAAAGCACATTCTCTGTGGTGGGTGTGTTGGAGCAGAAGACACACAGAAAGTCAGTTTAAAGGGTACAATGCATAAAATCAGCGACTACAGAAAATGATCGCAGCCAGCATGCGACGGGAGGGAGGAAGATTAAGACAATGGATCAAAGGCTTACAAGAATTGGAGCTTCTTCAGCTTCGTGATGGTCTCGGGAATACAGCCATTGATCTTATTGCCACCCAAGTTCCTGCATGGGAGGAAGAGAGGGCAGCAAGGCGAGGAGGTTTTTTGAAATGTCTGGCAAGTGGGGCAGAGGGCAGTCATAGAGTGCAAGGAGCTGAGACAGTTGGCAGAGGGCAATGAGTGGGCATCGGGCAGAGGGCAGGGGGCAGATGGCATTGGGTGGGCAGTGGGCAGGGAGCTGAGGAAGTGGGCAACGGGCAAAGGCTACATATACGGGTAATATGGTCAGTTATTTTGCACCTTCTGACCATAGGCTGTATACAATGATTATGATAGTCCATTCTGTAATGAATGAAGTGCGAGTTTGATTCAGTTTAGTTTCAGACACACTAAAGTTGAACATGGACGGTAGCTCGTATATACCAAAGATTATAATGTTAAAATACTGTAATATAGAGAACAATGATGCTATAGTTTTGTTTGCACGCTCACATGTAATTCAGATGGAGGAGGCTGTGTGCGCGCTCACAGGTATCTGAGGTTGAGGAGGTTGCCAATGCTGGAGGGGATGGATCCATTGATGGCTGTGGCGGCATCAGGGTACGGGTTCCACGCCACACTCCTGCAATGAGATGCGAGTGAAGGAAAGTGCACAGCCTAATATCATGATAGAGGATCCAGGTACGGGCTCCACGCCACACTCCTGCAGTGGCAGTGAAGAGGCACGGTGAGTGCTCAAACAGAGACGTTTGGTGTACGAATGGCATGGCGTCGGGGTATGGTTTTCCAAGCACAGCATGGCACCGCGACATGGGATATCTCACATGAATTCAACGTTAGTGAGTGTGCCGATGGTCTCTCCAGTGGGACCCCAGAACTTGTTGTCACTCATGTCACTAGCGTTGTTGAAGGGGGCAAGGAAGCACACAGATAAGGCCAAGAAAGGTGGATGCAATATGGAAGTGAGCTTTCTCACAAACACAGGCAGCGTTGCATCCATGGAGTGTCCACAGATGATGTATGAACACGGATTTCATAAGCGTAGCTGGGGCTTTATCAAACTGACGTAGCAGTTAGGGAGTCATTCTGCCACGATTATTTCAGTAACTTAACTGAAGGAAGAAGCGTCTAGGGTGTAGAGATAGAATGCTGGTCTTACAGCCATGTGAGTTTGGTGAGTGTGCTGATGTGAGAAGGGAAGGAGCAGTTCATGCTGTTGAAATGAACGTCACTGCGGCCATGACAGGTTTGAGAGCAGGATATTAGTTACCATTGCAATGTGTAGTTGAACCATACATTCATCATAAAACCTTCAAATTATTTAGTCTTGAAGATTCATCCGAAATATGATTTAACATTAACAAAGTCTCAATGAAATATGTGTTTATAGCAAAATAACTGAGATCAGAAATACACGGAAAATTCCGTACACACTGAAACAGCTCAGAACTGAATGTTACTGAAGGCATCGTGGATCATCGAGATACAGTCAGACGACTGAAGGTGATGGGGGGAGAGGAATGACTGACAGAGCAACAAGGTTGGTGAGAGTGCTGATGGCAGCAGGGAAAGTCCCGTTGATGAAGTTCATGGAAATGTTGCTGGGAGGGCTGAAGGGGAGGGGCGTAGGGTGGGCGCAAACAGAAAGTAAGCTAACATATTGGGAGGACCGCAGAGGTGAGGTGAGATGAGGAAGGGCGTGAAAACTGCCACTCACAGGTTGGTGAGGCTGATGAGATTGCTGAGACTGGAAGGAAGTGTTTGGTTCAGCTGGTTGTTGGCAACTTGCCTGCGAGCGAAGAGAAGGACAAACGAGGGAGAACGCCATCAGCCATTCTTGCCTGTGAAAGAACTCACTGGAGAAGTGAGTTGGAAAGATGAATGTGGGAAGTTTCACATCCAGGAGTATCGAAGGAGAGCATATAGAATATCACCTGATGCTTGTTAAAGGCGGCCTACAGGTGCTTGAGTGACTACAGGTGGTTGATTGCCTACAGCCTACAGGTGCTTGAGTGCGGAGAGTCGGCTGAAGGAGTCTGGGAGCGACCCATTGAGGCCATTGTAGCTGACGTCACTGATGGTGGGCAGCAAGGGAAGGGAAAACACCAAGTAGGATCAAGGAGCCTTGTTTTGAGTTCTATTTTTGTGGCCTACGGCGGTGATGCGTCCGTACCTATAACATAAAGAATGCAGGAGAACCCTACGGACGAGAGAGGGTGCTTTGAGGACACTAAATGTGATCAATACATGCAAATGAAGAGGTGAGTGAGAGCTGTAATGCTGTCCCAATACTAGATGACAGGGTAATGAGGCGAAAAACTGGTGGATTTTCAAGTAAAGGCGGCGTGGAAGACTCACAAGTAAAGGAGGTGTGGGAGACTCACAAATAAAGGAGGTGTGGGAGACTCACAAATAAAGGAGGTGTGGGAGACTCACAAATAAAGGAGGTGTGGGGGACTCACAAGTAACGGAGGTGGGCGAAGTCACCAAATGACGATGGAATGGATCCATTGAGCAGATTCATGGTGAAGTTACTGCATGGGAAGTTAGAAGGGGGCAGGTGAGAAGGGAGCGCATGGATGGATTCAGAGGACGACGCTTGGTAATAACTACTTGAAGTTGCACTGGTACAGAAACACCACATCCCCACTCATTGTATGAAACTGCAAAATGCTGCCTTTTATGTTTGTTTTTTCTGCGTACAGCCTTTTAAACGCTACATTCCTTCAGAGGCAGCAACTTCGTAGAAATACAAAGAGTAAACGGAAACACACACACACACACACACACACACGCACACACACATACACACACACACACAAAACATGGTGTCATGGTGAAATGACATGGCACATTGAAAACGGAGCACGGGGTGACAGGGTGCGTACAGAGAGATGAGGTTGGTGAGGTTCCCTAAAGAGTCAGGGATGCTGCCGTTGATTACGTTGCTGGCGAGATTTCTGGGGGTTTGGCGTGGTTGGAGGGAGTGTTGAGTGGTGGTATAGCATGGCGAGATGGACGGATAAGCATTGTGGGAGGGATTGATGGGCATGGTGGGAGGAAGTAATGGGTACGATGGGAGGATGGATGCAGCACGATCGGTGGGATGGGTTGAGGGAATGATGAGCATGGTGGGGTGTATGGGATCAGGTGCATGTGAAGTGATGGGTGCGTGGAGATTATCGGGCTATCAACACGGAGCAATGTCTGTATGACCAATCTCTAGATGGTGGAGCGAAGCGAGTAATGGTAGAGTGGAGAGGGATGACGAAGGACGGTTGACAAGGGCTATTGCAAACGCATGTGATTAGGCTTGCATTAGTACTGCAACTTGAAGGTAATTTTTTCCAAGTCCAGAAGAGCACTAAGTTACTCACATGTTTGCGAGACAGGATCACAATATCAGAGAGCTACTCCGAGGTTAGTAATCAAAGAATATTCCGTTTATAGGAACATTCGGAGGTTAGTAAGAAAGTTGCACACATGTGCGTAACAGCAGTGTATTACTCACAGGCTTGTAAGAGCAGTGAGTTGGTCCAGTCCTTGAGGCAGAGTTCCATTGAACGCGTTGCCACTGACGTCACTGGAGAGCGAAAGAGTGGTGGGGGGAGGAAGAATCAGGAATAGAGAGTGAGGGGTACAGAATCGAACAGTAAGTACCGAGGTCACCGGAGGGCGAAAAAAGGGAATTTCAAACAGATGTGGAAGGCCAAAAGGAACGCTGTACTGGGGGCGAGAAGAATTACTGGAAGGAGTAAAATTCCAAGAAGAGATACTAAACGGTTAGCAGTGAGTGACTTCAGTGGTACGAGTGCTGGGTTATGGTTAGTTATGATGAAGATGGATAGAAGGTCACTAACAGGTGAGACAGGAGGGAGATTCTCCCAAGGCCTTCAGGCAAAGAGCCAGTCAGCTGCTTGTTGCTCAGATCGCTGTGGATGGAAGAGGAGAGGAAGAGGTCGTGAGGAAATGTGTGTATAGAGAGACAAAGAGAGGGATGGGGAGACGCAGTATGCGTTTGGAGAGGGATGGGGAGGGATGGGGATCTGGAGGGAGGCGTGAGAGATAGGTGTAATGAGAAGGGTCCTGGTACAGTGATTGTTGTTTCTGATGTTCCTTCTTTTTGTTTTGTCAAATTTACTACTTTACTTGGTCCAGTGAGCAGGGTCAAGCTTCAAACCAAACTAGCAGGAAAGTGGAGAAACACAGAATCCATAGAGCACGAGTTACATGGGAAGAAGGGTAGGAGACTGGAAAGGCGCTCACAGGTGGAGCAGCTGCGGAAGGTCGCCCAGCCCTCGAGAGAGAGTGCCTTGGAAGGCGTTAGCACTGAGGTCGCTGTGGAGAGTGGGTGAAATGGGTTTGATTGTGGAAAGCGGGCGAAGTGAAATGGGTTCGATTGTGGAAAGTGGGTGAAGTGAAATGGATTTGATTGTGGAAAGTGGGTGAAATGGTTATGATAAAAGAAAGCGGGTGAAATGGGTTTGATTGAGGAAAGCCGGTAAAATCAGTCTGATAAAGAAAAGCGGGTGATATGGGTTTGATTGAGGAAAGCGGGAAATGGGTATGAATGAGGAAAGCAGGGGGACAGAGGAAAGGGTATGGAGGGCTAGGGGGAATCGATGAAATTGCTGTTGTCTTTGAATCAAGAGTGTGGGTGAGTACTTAGGTATCGAGGCAAACCAACAGAGGCCATGCTGGAGGTGCGAACAGCTCCACTAGAGTATGGCATGTGTGTGCCACTACCGGATGGCATGGGCGGTGGGTATCTGCACGGGCGCTGCAGTGTCTCTACAGATCCATGTGTGTGTGGTATGTACAAGGCATGGCACTACCCGATGGTATGGGTGGTGTGCATCTGTGCAGTGCAGATGAGGGGTGCACTTGCAGATGGCATTTGTGTGGCACTTGCGGATGACATCAGTGGTGTGCATCACGAGAGTGGCACTAACCAATGGCACAGGTGGGCCTCAGGTGGTGCGCCTCACGTACAGGTGGGTGAGGTGCCTGTATCGCCGCAGGCGAGGCAGAGAGCCATTCAGGGCGTTGGAGCTCAGGTCGCTGCACTCGCGAACACAATAAATGGAAAAATGATGCTGTTTAAAAAGCTTTGTCCACTTGATTGAAGAAGTAGAAAAGGTGTGCCAACAAAAGTATTAATGCACACACAAGGCCAAATATGAGGTGATTCTTACAGTATGTAAACAGTTCAACCCGTGAGACTCACAGGGTATGCAGGCGAGTGAGATAGCTCAGCATGCCGGGAACAGTGCCGATAAAAGAGCAGCTTGACAGGTCGCTGCATGTATGAGGGCGGAAATGTGGAGAGATTCAGAGGAGAAGCGAGAGTTAAATCCTCCCATCTCACTGATTCTCTGTCTCCTCCCAATGAGCGTGGGTGGGGGGAGATAGGGGCGGGAGAGAGCCAGAGAGGGGGAGGGATAATGCCCAGCTTATTGATTTGGAAAACTTCAGGTGACGTGTTAATATTTGCACTGGCGAAGGGTGTAAGGGGGTGGGGGAAAGGTGTAAGGGCATAGAGGAAGGGTCCAAGGGCATGAGACGAGAGGAGGGTGCAATGGCTTTCGGAAAAGGCTGGAGGGGGCTGTTGGTGATAATAGGGTGGGTAAATCTGATGGCATGACAGCAACACGGGCCTCCACAGTAAGACATTCTCTTCAGTTACTTTGTCCTTCAAGCTTGTTCCCTCAACTCCCAAGCTTCCAACTCTCAAGACACTCAATACTCTAATTTCTCTCAAGCCACTCAGTTCACTCATTTCTCTCAAAGGTCAAGATTCTTAATCTTCTCAAGCCGCCGACTCACAGGCGCCTCAGATTCTCCAGCAGGCTGAGGAACGACGGCATGGTGCCCCATAGGCTGTTGTGACTCAGATCCCTGCGAAAAGATGGGGGGGGAGGAGGGAGCAGGGGAGAGCAGAGAGGGATAGTACAGAGGGGGAGGAGGGAAGGGGGGGAAGGAAAGGGCGAAGAGAGAAGGGGGTTGATAAGGGGAGGAGGAAAGGGATAAGAGAGGGGTGGGAGAGATCGGTGGGAGAGGAGGCCAAAGAGGAAGAAGGGAGAAAGTGGGGGGGGTTAGATCGGGGGGGTTGGACTGGGAGGGGATAAGCGGTGAGCACTGAAAGTCTTAGACTTCATATGTGAGCACAGCATGTGAGGGAGAAACAGCAGATTGAGATGCCATTAGTACTCCCACAGGTCTCCTTTATTTACCAGTGATGCTACCCCCCGCAGTAAAACATATAACCCCCCAATGCCATTGGAGTAGCTTTGAATCTTTCCGCCTGGTAGCAGCTTTTAGAAGTGCGATCCAAGCAACTCAAACATGAACGAAGATGGATGAGGCGCTTACAAGAGGGTGGGTGAGTTCAGTCGGCCCAGGGTGGCAGGAACAGCTGAGTTGAGGTGGTTGGACGAGAGATCCCTGGGGTGGGAGAGAGGACCGCCAGTCATTTGAAAACCACCGGCAGATTTTGGTAATAAGAGGACTCTTGTGATTGGGAAACCGGAAAATCTTTACTAGCAGCCAAAGTGGGCAAAACCGAGTGGAATGCAAATCAATGATTGCGAAGTCATGGGGACAGACAAAAGCGAAAATCCTACACAGGATTGATTCATTCCAATTATATGCGGAAGGTCAATGTGTGAAACCATAGAGTTATTTCTAGTTCTTTATACTTGAGTTTTTGTAAATACACCATAAAGGCATACATCCACAGTCGTAGCTGAACATGTAGCTGAGCAGAGATAGGAGGGCGAAGGTGTGTCTCACAGGAAGCGCAGGTTAGGAAGCATGCCGAGGCCAGCCGGAATGGTTCCGCCCAACGAGCTGTTCCTCAGGTCCCTGTAGAGCGGAGGGCACAAAGGATGAGAAGGGTACGAAGGGAAGGTGCACGGTGGAAAGGGTTGGACTTAGAAGAGAGAGTGATTGCGGAGTGGATCTGCCCAGCGAGCCACTTTTGAGAATTCTCAAAAGTTGAACGGAGGAAAGGGTTGGATTTGGAGGAGAACGTCACTGCGGAATGGATCCGCTCAGCGAGTGCTGTCACTCAGGTCGAAGAGCCTGGACAGGCAGAGAACCTAGGGAGGGTGCAAGGAGGGAGGGTTGTCGAATGAAACAGATCTGCGGAGTTCAACTGATTGCAGAGAATTGCTGATCATGAACCAGGCCAAGGTATATAGGGAGGAATCAAAGGAGCAAGGGCATGGAGAAAAGGCTGGGGGAAGAATGAGTGAGTGTGATGGCAGAGCAGTGGCATGGTTCCCTTTGGCATGGTTTCTCTCTTCACTTGGAATTTCAAGCCTCTGACATTCAAATCTCTCATTTCTCAACTCTCAACGTTCAGGATCCCAACTCTCGAGCCGCTCAAGCCCCTCGAGCAACCCAGGCCAACGACTCACAGGCGCCTCAAGTTCTCCAGCAGGCTGAGGAACGACGGCATGGTGCCCCATAGGCTGTTGTGACTCAGATCCCTGCGTGGGAGGTGAGGGAAGAAGGGGCAGCAAGACAGGAGTGTGGAGAAGGATAGGAGAAAGAGGAGAGTTGGAGGAAGAGGGGGAAAGGCTGGAAGAGGGATGAGAAGGGGAGAAGGAAAGAGAAAGGATGGAGGTGATGAGAGAGGTGGGGGGGAGGGGAGAGCGCAATAAGAGGAAGGACGGGAGGATTGCGGGCTGAGGAGGGGTGGGGAGAGGGATAAAGTGGCGAGCCTGGGTTATATGTGAGGGGGACGAAGAGGCAATGACAGAGGCAAGTGTGAGCCCTCGGGAGAGACATATGTGTGAAGAGGGGCGAGAATTGGTTGTAGTGTTGGGGTGATAGGGGTTGTGGGAGGAGGAAGATGGACAGCTGAGGCTAGAGAAAAAGAGGAGGGAAGAGCGGAGGGATGCTTACACGTTACACCCTTCCAGTAACATTGAAGGTGGTTTTGATTGGATAATAAAAAAATAAGCAGAACTAAGGGAAAATATATATACATAGATATAAACATACGTATACCCACAATTCTTTCAGAAATAATTCAGAATCGCTTCTACATAAGGCTGGACAATTTGTAACAGAAACCCACAAAGTCATCATCATCATTGCTAGGAGAATTGTCTGAATATAAATATAGGTCTAGAGGATGTTCCTTACAGGAGGGATAGGGACGTGAGAGAACTGAATGTGACAGGGATGTAGCCACTTAGAGAGCAGTTGGCGAGGTCGCTGTCCCAGGAAGAGACATGCACGGAACATAGGATGAGGAGGAAGATAGAAATCTATAATAGGAGAGAAAGGAAATGAGGGGAGGAGAGGAGATATAAATGAATAATGACGCCACCCATAATGTAAGTGACTGACTGTAGTTGAGCTGACATGGTAGAGGGAGAGGGAGAGGGAGAGAGGAGTGGGGGGGGCGAAGCTTACAGGAGAGTGAGGGTGGTGAGGCTGCCAATCTCTTGAGGAATGCGGCCGTTCAAGGGGGTGTTGCTCAAGTCGCTGCTCATGACAAACATACCATGGCATTTGCAAGTAAATATGTAAGGCGTGCAATTTGACGGCATGCCATGTGAATGCATGCTGTGTGAGCGCATGTCGTGTCGAGCATGCCATGTGATGGCATGCAATGTGGAGGCATAGTACTTGTCATCATGATGTGATATGACGTCAAACAAGCCTGAACACAATACAAACTAATGACGGGGCATGGCGACACAAATACATCCATAGAAATGTATGCAGAGCAAGGGAACGGGAACGAGGGGTGACAAGTTGGGAGATGTAAGCAAGCAGTGAACCACATCAATCAACCGTGCCTCATGCTGCCAGCACCATGCCGCACATTGCCACCACCGTGCCTCACATTGTTAGGGTTGGTTCGCCCAACCACGGAACCTACGGCGAAAGCTTCTACGACGGCGGAATGACGGCGAAATGGAAGCACGTGGATGATTCTAGGTGAAACGGTGGAAATCGGCCTACGGTGGAGAATGGAAGCTACGGCGTGAGAAGCGAGAGAGAAATCGGGAAGAAACTAGAAAAATGGAGGAAGACGAGTGAAGAAGCATCGAGATTGAAATTGACAAGGGGAAATTGTGGTTCGAGCTCGAGGCGTGTTCGAGAAGGTTCCAGATTCGGACTTGAGGAGTGTTCACCGAATTCGGTTCGGTTCCGTGTGCGACTCGGGGTGAACGAGGCGCACGCGGTTACTTGGGAAACAAGTTACGTTACGAATCGCGTTTTGTGTCTTGCCTGACTATAAATCTGTTTGTACTCATTCTGGAAATCACAACATTGAAACCAATCAGATTCTGGAAATTGCTGAAGTGTGTATTGACAACTTCAAGCAGAGCTGCGCATATCGTTGGATTCGGGAGATCGTGGAGAACACGATAAGCAATAGCAAGTAGACTATTGCCGACTAAGGTGTTTACGATCCTAAGACACATTGCCACCACCGTGCCTCACATTGCCACCACCGTGCCATCGCTGTCACAAGTCACCCCTTGCACTTGGCTGCAATCCACCCCTCCACTCCACCCTGTTGGCGCCACTCCCCATACCCCCACGCTCTCTGCCAGAGCTTGTGCTGTCAGAAAGAGAGGGACGAAGAGAATAGGGGAAGAAGAGTGGAGCACAACTTACACGGACACAACTACCATGAAACCACTCCACATACATCACTTCGCCGATCCCATCTCATCATCCCATCCAATCCCATCGCATCGCATCTTACTGCACCGCACCTCATTGCGTCGCATCTTATTGCACCACTGCATCTCATTGCTCACATCGCATAACAAGCATTTCCATCCCATCGCATCCTGGCATAACCTCTTCTTTGCCCATCCTCTCTAGAAGGTGACACTACTACTAATAGAGACTCTTCCGGCACTGCACGACCTATGCACATCCAAAAATAGCACATCCACGCGCTCTCGTTCTCCCCATCAAACTTTCCCCTGACCTTGCAGCACGTCTATTGGCACGACAGGTCCTGCAGCGTGCACAGGAAGGCTTGCCAGGAAATGAAGCGCCAACAGGGCGGTGAGAAGCGGAAGAGACAGCAAGGAGCAGCTCGCAGAGCCCCGTGTCATTCTCCTTGGTGCCTCAAAGCGCGCCGAGCTTGGCTTCATCTTCGTGTCCTCGCGACTCGCAGGGAGTGGAATAAATCTAGTATAGGGCTTCGACTGCGTGAAGTAGTAGTTGAAAGGAATGGGCGGCTTCTAGAAGTATGAATGCGGACGGCTGAGCTAAAGATACGACTACGCGTTTCAGATGGGCCAAGAGAGGATGAATTTGTGTGTGTTCTGGATTCTGAAAATTGTTGCAACAAGTGCGATTTCAAGAAAGGTTCCGCAATGGTAAGGAGCTGGAAGGACCAAGCGTCACAGTTGTCCCAGACATTCGTTTGAATGCGGCTCAATGGGATGATTTACGTTGATTTGAGATTCTACATTGGTCGGGTAGGGTTTTGAGCAAATGTGGTCGTGTGGGACATGCCCGCAGAATCTGTGGGATGAGACGAGGTCAAGCGAGGAGTCGAGGACCCCTTTCATAATTTTGTTTTTTTCGTATTTCTGCTTCCGTTTTGTTTCAAACAAGCAGGGTACTGTACTGCGTTGCTTGTTGTAAAGGCTGGTTGGTCGTTTAGCGGATTCTTTCGGCACATTGCAGCGAGGCTGGTTGGTCGTTGGTTGTTGCCCTGCCCTGCGTCGCGCTGTCCCACGCACGCCCTGCCCTACGTCGCGCTGCCCGCGCACACCTTGCCCGCACGCCGCCCGTCGCCGCGCCGCGCCGCGCCGCCCTGCCCGCGCGCTGTTTGCCGCCGCGCCGCGCCGCGCCGCCCTGCCCGCGCGCTGTTTGCCGCCGCGCCGCGCCGCCCTGTCCGCACGCTGCTCGCCGCCGCGCGCCCTGCCCTGCCCGCGCGCCGCTCGCCGCTGCGCCGCCCTGCCTGCGAGCTGCTCGCCGCCGCGCGCCCTGCCCTGGCCGCTCGCCGCCGCGCCGCCCTGCCCGCGCGCTGCTCGCCGCAGCGCGCCCTGCCCTGCCCGCGCGCCGCTCGCTGCTGCGCGCCCTGCCCTGCCCGCGCGCCGCTCGCCGCCGCGCCGCCCTGCCCGCGCGCTGCTCGTTGCCGCGCGCCCTGCCCTGCCCGCGCGCCTCTCGCCGTCGCGCCGCCCTGCCCACGCGCTGCCCGCCGCCGCGCCGCCGCCCTGCCCGTGCGCCGCTCGCCGCAGCGCCGCCGCTCTGCCCGCGCGCTACTTGCCGCCGCGCGCCCTGCCCTGCCCGCGCGTCGCTAGCCGCCGCGCCGCCCTACCTGAGCGCCGCTCGCCGCCGCCCTGCCCTGCTGGCCGCCGCCCTGCCTTGCCCTGCCTGCGTGCTGCCCTGCTTCTAGCGCGCCCGCCTGCCTTGCCCTGCCTGCGTGCTGCCCTGCATGCGTGCTGCCTTGCTGCTAGCGCGCCCGCCTGCCTTGCCTGCTATGGCAACTCTCAGCGTCCTCACCTTCGATCCGGAGGGCCGCCCGATAGAGTTCGATGCGTTGCTAGGGACGGCGTTTCACTATTTGACCTCACGTTTGGAGCCTCTCTCGCCCCTCCCGCCACAGCTGACAGTGCGACTCGCTCACAGTGGCTTACCCATGACGTTGCTGCTCGCCTAGCCGTTCGCAACCACCTGCCGTTAGCCGAACGCGCTCACTTTGGCCAGCACAAGACTGCTAGAGCCTTGTACGACGTGTAGTCGCTCGTTACTCCTCCCCGGCCACTGCTGCTCTAGGCCGCCTTCTCCTGCCCTACCTGTTCCCTGAGCTGTCCGCCTTTGCCACAGTCGCCGACCTCGTCACTCACCTTTGCACTAGTGACACTCGCTACTGCGCTGCGCTTCCCGCCGAGTTCCTCGCCAAGAACCCTCCTCCCATGTGCATCACTCTCTACTTCATAGTCACCCGCCTCCCTGACTCTCTTAGCGCTGTCAGGGACCTCCTTCTCGCCCTTGACCCCACCGACCTCACTGTCGACCTGCTCGAGAAGCACCTCCTAGCAGTTGAGACTAGCATAGTCGATGTAGGCGCTTCTCGTGGCACTCCTCGCACTCCCTTCTTTGAGGGGTGTTCGCCCTCCCCCCTTGTCCCCTCAGTTGCCTCTGCTGCAGCTGTTGACTACCTTCGTGCTGAGGAGGTAGGAGCTGCGTCTGCCCCTAGTGGGAGGCGCCGCAACGGCAGGGGCAGGGGAGGCAGGGGCGGTGGGGGTGGCAGAGGTGGAGGCGGTGGTGGGGGCGGTGGAGGCGGTAGAGGTGGCGGTGGGGGCGGTGGAGGCGGTAGAGGTGGCGGTGGAGGCGGTAGAGGTGGCGGTGGTGGCGGAGGGAGTGGTGGTGGGGGTGGAGGTGTATGTGGCGGCGGTGGTGGCGGCAGTGGGAGTGGTGGCGGCGGCAGTGGTGGCGGCGGTGGGAGTGGAGGCGGCGGCAGTGGTGGCGGCTGGGGTGGTACCAGTCAGAGGGGAGGCTTTGGCGGTGGTCAGAGGCAGCAGTAGCAGCGTCAGCGTGAGACCCCTTCACCCCAGGAGCTTAGTGAGTGGTTTGCTTAGCGTGGGGCGTCTGAAGGTAGTGGTCGCTGCCCGTATGTCATTCGCACAGGTGACCGCTCTGGTCAGACATGCGGGAAGTTTCACACACAGCACCACTGCTTCTCCCATCTTAACGACGCCTTTCGCGCAGAGTTTCCCGACGCGACTAAGCTCCCCCGCTGGGCAGAGCTGCTTAGGCGGGGTGTGGATATCTTTGCTCTTGATTCTGATGTTATCCTTGATGCCATGTATGCATTGACTGTTAGTGCTGAGGGTGACTGTTACCTGTGTATGCCGCCCGACCCAGGTATAGAGGCTGCTGCTCTAGGTGCTAGTGAGTCTGCTCTGTCTGGTAATGCGCCTGCTGAGGCCTTGCACACCTTCACGCTTGACTCAGGTGCTTCCCGCTGTTTATTTCGCGACAGTACCACAGTCACACCGCTCCCTGCACCTGTTGCTGTCTCTCTGGCTGACCCCTCTGGGGGCCCAGTCCTTGCACGTTCCTCTACTATTCTCCCATGTCCGTCGGGTCCGTCTGGCTCACTGTCAGGTCTTCACCTCCCCTCGTTCTCTACGAACTTGGTGAGCAACACCGTCCTTCAGGATGTATGGGTTGACACCTTTACTCCCGGACTGGCCGGCACCTGGCCACGTTCACCCGTCGGCCTGGGTCGAGTCTGTACACACTGACTACTGTGTCTCCTCAGGTAGCTGCGTCTGTGTCTGCGTCAGGTCAGCTAGCGCCCCCATGCTCGTGTCGCGCCCTGTCGCACCGGACCCTCCTTTGGCACCACCGCCTTGGTCACCTGTCAGTGCAGCGCCTCCGTGGCATGCACTCCCGTCTCCTTGTCTCTGGTCTTCCCAGGTCTCTGCCTCCCCTCCCACCCTCACCTGCCCCTCCCTGCCTTCCCTGTGTCGAGGGGCGGCAGCGCGCCGCTCCTCACTCCTCCTCGTTTCCCCCGACGACTGCTCCCCTGCAGACTCTCCACATGGACGTGTGGGGCCCAGCCCGCGTCCTTGGACAGGGCCGCAAGCACTACTTTCTGCTGGTTGTTGACGACTACTCGCGTTACACCACGGTCTTCCCCTTGCGCAGCAAGGGGGAGGTCCCTGATGTTTTGATCCCTTGGATCCGCTTTGTCCGTCTCCAGCTTCGCGAGCGGTTCCACACGGATCTTCCAGTCCTGCGTCCGCACTCTGACAGAGGTGGGGAGTTTTCCTCCGACCTCTTGCGGGACTTTTGTTGTGGGGAGGGCATTCGCCAGTCGTTCACGCTTCCCGCCTCTCCGCAGCAGAATGGGGTTGCTGAGCGCCGCATTGGCTTAGTCATGCAGGTCGCTCGTACCTCCATGATCCATACGGCTGCCCCCCATTTTCTCTGGCCGTTTGCGGTCCGGTACGCTGCGCATCAGCTCAACCTCTGGCCCCGTGTCTCCTTGACGGAGACCTCGCCTACACTGCGTTGGACAAGGAAGGTTGGCGATGCGTCGGGGTTCTGGGTCTGGGGTTCTCGTGCCTTTGTCCACGATACGTCCGCGGACAAGCTCTCCTCCCGCGCCATTCCCTGTGTCTTCCTTGGTTTTCCCCCCGACGCGCCTGGCTGGCAGTTTTACCACCCCACCTCGCGCCGTGTCCTGCCCTCTCATGACGTCACGTTCGACGAGTCGGTTCCCTTTTACCGTCTCTTCCCCTACCGCACTGCACCTCTCCTCCCCCCGCCGCTCTTCCTCGCACCAGGTCCTCCTCCGGTAGACCCCCTTCCCCCTCAGGGTCCTGCTCCCTCAGGTGTGTCTCAGGTAGACCCTGTCGAGCCTGTCGAGGTCGCTGTCGACTCTTGTGCTGCTGGGGGTGGTGCTGCTAGGGGTGCTGAGCCTGATCGTGCGGAGCCTGGGGCTGCTGAGCCTGAGCGTGCGGAGCCTGGGGGTGCTGAGCCTGGGGGTGCTGAGCCTGAGGTTGCTGAGTCTGAGGGTGCTGAGCCTGGGGGTGCTGAGCCTGGGGGTGCTGAGCCTGGGGGTGCTGAGCCTGGGGGTGCTGAGCCTGAGGTTGCTGAGTCTGAGGGTGCTGAGCCTGGGGGTGCTGAGCCTGGGGGTGCTGAGCCTGGGGGTGCTGAGCCTGGGGGTGCTGAGTCTGCTGGAGGTCCTACGGGTGCCTCGTCACGACGGGAGCCTCTCTCTCCACCGCAGCTGCGCGAGTGGTTTGCTCGGCGCTGGAGCCTTCGGAGTGGCGCTGCTGGAGCTGGGGGGCCTGCCGCTGGAGGCCCTGGAGCTGGAGGCACTGGAGCTCCTGGTCTCGGAGGTGCTCATACTGGAGGTACTGGAGCTGCTGGAGCTGGAGGTGCTGTAGGCGTTGGAGCTGGAGCTGCTGGAGGTGCTGGAGCCGCTGGTCCCGGAGGTGCTCGTACTAGAGGTACTGGACCTGCTGGAGCTGGAGGTGCTGCAGGAGTTGGAGCTGGAGGCGCTGGAGCTGGAGCTGCTGGAGGTGCTGCAGGCGTTGGAGCTGGAGGCGCTGGAGCTGGAGCTGCTGGAGGTGCTGGAGCTGGT